TGATGTCATTTTACAGTCGCTGGATGATTCTTACCTTAATGAGTCTAAAGTCTGATCAAGGTGTGTTTTGTCCTGAATTACTTCGAAGTTAAGCGACTTCAGACAAGCTCTTTTCTTGTTTTATTCTCCAGGAAGATGAAGCTGATCATCCTCAATGACTACGACCAGGCAAGCGAGTGGGCTGCAAAGTACATTAGAAACAAGATTTTACTGTTCAAGCCTGGCCCGGACAGATATTTCACCCTGGGGCTTCCCACAGGTAAGAAGGAGCTGTCATCACCGTAAAGCTGTGTTTATTTGTTTCAAAATTCAGTGCAGGAGAAACTGTAGTTTGTAAAATAGTGGTGTATTTCTCCCCACATCAGTTGATTCAGTCTGAGTGGTGGAAATAGCTGTCAGGCTCTTACTGAACCCATGGGGGGAAAAATGCTCAAATCATACTTAGACGTGTACAATAGTGTTGCATGGACCTGCAAGAGCTGTCTTAATGTGTCAGCTTGTCTTTGTTGTGCAGATTACGAGTAAAAAATCAATTATGTGTGGTGACATTACATGTTTTGCATGTAAACTCTGCACTGCAAAGATCCAGTGCAGCCATTGCATACATTTGGTGCAGAAAATACAATTATTTCCTCTGAAACATAAAGGAGTTTGGGAAGGAAATGGAAGGACTTGTGTACCGTGACTGAAAATGAAATGCCTACATAAGTACTTTAGTTTTCCACTCTGTTATTTTTGCTTTGTAAGCTTTTGCCTGTCTTCAGGAAGCACCCCCCTGGGCTGTTACAAGAAACTGATTGAGTACTACAAGAACGGACAAATCTCATTCCAGTATGTAAAAACTTTCAACATGGATGAATATGTAGGTAAGTCTTCACTGTCCTCTTTTCACACGTAAAATGCTTACACACTGAGGAATTATTGAAAGCTGAGATCTTGTATAAGAAACTGTTGTAAAAACCTGTACAGGGCTGCCCAGAGATCACCCTGAGAGCTACCACTCCTTCATGTGGAATAACTTCTTCAAGCACATAGACATAAAATCAGAGAACACCCACATCCTAGATGGCAACGCTGCTGACCTGCAAGCTGAGTGTGAAGCCTTTGAGGAGAAGATAACAGCTGCTGGGGGGATCGAGCTCTTTGTAGGAGGTCAGGAGGTCACAGTACTGATAATGAATGTCCTGTAACAAACTACACATTTCAGAGTTGTGCTCCATCCCATTCTGGTGTGAAATGATTTTGTAGTCATTGTTGGTGCGGCAGGAAAATTCAAACTTCTCCCTCTGTCCTGTCAGGTATCGGACCAGATGGCCACATTGCCTTCAATGAGCCTGGCTCAAGCCTGGTTTCCAGGACTAGGGTAAAGACCCTGGCAAAGGACACTATCATGGCTAATGCCCGATTCTTTGATGGGGATCTCTCAAAGGTGCCCACCATGGCACTGACTGTGGGAGTGGGCACTGTTATGGATGCAAAAGAGGTTAGAAGCCTTGATGAATATCAACCATCTGTCCTGTTTTTGTGTTCTGTGTTTTGCTTCTCTTTTATGTTTCTACAAAATCTCAAATACACCATATGTTAGGAAGTATGATTTTCTGTCTGATCTTTGAGTTACAGAAAAGTACATTATGAAATGATCTTGACATTTTCCTGATGCACCAAAACACACCAGTTGCAAGTTCCTCTTGCTCAGGCCACGGGTCACATTTTCAATTTCTTCTCAGGTCATGATTCTCATCACTGGAGCACACAAGGCATTTGCTTTATACAAAGCTATAGAAGATGGTGTGAATCACATGTGGACAGTGTCTGCGTTCCAGCAGCACCCACAGACTGTTTTTGTATGTGACGAAGACGCCACCCTGGAACTGCGGGTCAAAACTGTAAAGTACTTCAAAGGTGAGACTTGAACAGAAGCTACAGTGTTTAAACTACCATATTTCAACCAGGTTGCATTAAGCAACAATATTTGCAAACCAGGCATGAATCACAAAAAACATGCTGATTCTTGCTCTTTCTTTAGGGATGATGCATGTGCACAACAAGCTGGTGGAGCCACCTTCCTCATTGCCAAAGAAGAACTGAGAAGATCTTATCCAAAATTTGTGGATTCATGATGTATTTCTCAAAATGTAACACTTTAATGATTCCTTAATCTCCTGCTGGAGATACATTGGTGAACATCAAGCAGTGCTTGGAGTTAACCTCAACTAATCCTTGTAGAAATAATGCGGTGCTAGTATTGTGCAGGCTATTCAGGTTTCCATGTGATTGTTCTGCAGCTTTGCCTCTCATTTGTTCTTTATAATAAAGTGCATTTAATTTTTAATGTCTGTATGACTGTGACTGAGGATATCGCTGTGGTATTCAGCCTGTTCCTCCTGTCACATGACAACACGGAACAACCAATGTGGCCTTCAAGTGCTCCTTGTAAGTTTCTATTTCCAGCACTGTGCTGGAAGTAAAGGCAAAATGGCCCCTTAAACAAATTGCTTTCATGTCTGTTTAAGAGAAACGGAGGAGCTCAGAGTCCTTGTTGCCAGGGATGGAATATAACTAAATGCATTTACTCAAAAGTATCATGGAAGTGCCATATTTATACACACTTTCAAGCTCCTTCTATTTTAATAGAGCATTATGATTTTGTACTTTGTTTTTCTTCAAGCACATACAGTAGCTGTGCGTATACCCACTACATTTTAGGAGCATATATTATTGTTTAGGCTGCTTTACTACATTTACATGATTGCTATAGTTTGGTTACATCACTTTTTATGATTTTATAAACAAACCTTATGATCACATGTAAAATCTGATGCATTGGTCATGAATAAATTATCCTATAACGCTGCCCATCAGTATTGGTAACATGATGACATATACATTAAGGTAATACTGGTGAAGGGACCATTCTGCACAATGATGTCTTTTACTTTTCATACTTAAAGTACCTAACAATAAAGTTTTGAATACAGGACTTTTATGTCATGGTGTTGTGTTGAAATCTGTTTCCCTGTCCATATATCTCCCCCTACTCAGGGGTCGGCAACCTTTTCTATCAAAGGAACCGCTTTTGACCAATGATAAATGTAAAATTCCGTGGAGCTGCTAAACATTTTTGAGCCTTATAATGAGGGTAACATAGCCTATTAAGTCTACATTAGCCTATCGACATTAATAATAGCTCTCAATGAGCATGCATTAATATGTTCTCCCACAAGGTGGCTACTCAGCAGTGGGTTTTTTTTTTATAATTATTTCGTACTTAAAGTTACAGAGTTGGCAGTGAAAGCAACAAATCTGTCCACATACTATTACATTTTCTGTTTTACTCCAAAACTTCTTCTTTTTTGGATTTGGAATCCAGAGCTAACCAAGCAGCAACCTCCGAGGAAGAAAAAAATAAGCCATTGTTGATGGGCCAGAAACTGCAGTTCCTCGAATGGCCACTTGAGGCTGGCTCCTAAACATAGTAACTCCCCAAAGACCCCCATGTTAAAATGCCCAACTTAACAGCAGAATTAAAAATGTTTACAGCCTGGTACAAAAATGGTTCTGGTCTCTATAGCTAATCTCAACATTCATGACAACTGTATGAGGTAATTTTTTTTTTTTAATATATATATATTTAACTTTCCTGTTTACATGTTATTAAGGCTCAAAATTATGCATAATTAAGGGCGGGACCACCTGAGTGACAGGTTGTCTGTGAGGCATTGCTACTCTCTGTCAGTCAGATCCACCCCTCGTTCTCCCCCTCATCCAAATATGGTCACCTCTGGCTCCAAAAAACTAAGATGGCAACAGCTGAAATGCTGAACATGGCCTCAGAACTGCACTCCACAAACCAACGGGTGACATCATGGTATCTATGTCCATTATTATATACAATCTTTTGAACTAACCGAGCTAAGAAGACTCAAGACTGCTATCGAGGTTCGACAAAATTTAGAGGAATAGGTATAGATTTTTTGAGGCACATTTTAGTTGACGAAAGCTTAGAACATTTTTTTACTCAGTATATAGGCTTCACATTTTTACAATCAGAGAATGTGAACATTTCTGTAGGCCTACAACATTAATAAATGAAAATTAAAATGCTTAAAATGATAAGCATTATAAATTTACATATAATTCTTTGTCAAAGCCACAGGGATCCCCGGGAGATGACCTGAAGAGCCGCATGTGGCTCCGGAGCCACAGGTTGTGTACCCCCGTCCCACAGTCTTGAAAAACCTGGAAAAGTCATGGAATTTCCCAGTAATGTTTCCCAGGCCTTGGAAAGTCATGAAGTTATTTAAAATCATTTAAAACTTTGGAAAAATAATGGGATTTTGTTGAGTAATGAATTGTTACTGTAATCTTTCAGGGCTAACCCCACATGTAATGTAACATAACAGCAAATTTATGTTCCCTGTCTGTCAACGTAATATAGCTCTATTATGCACTGATGTATTACGTTTTGTTAACCATCATGTATGTTTCTTTATTCTCTCCTTGTATTCTGTCTCTACCTTCATGTATGCCATTGCCAGCTAGCTGAAATTATGTTTTTAATTGAGTTTGAATCTGCCATGTCTGAAAAAAGACCAGGCAAAAACGTCATTGATGGTCCTTGAAAAGTCATGAAAAAGTTTTGAAATTTTGTCCATGAGGGCGCCACGCATCAACAAGGAGAAAACACTATTCATCGTGAAAACTCATGTCGATATAACACGTGATATTTCAACTTTGATACACGAACAAATCGTAAACGAATATTCCAACAGCATTTTAAGGTAGCATCCTAGCCTGCATTTTTTTCTGTCCTAGGATGGCGAAGCTATAGCCCGCCCTACTCTGCCTCTGATTGGCTCACCCTACCCTTATCTTGACCAATCACACTCCTCATACCCAAGTCTAACCAATCCAATCAACGAAGGCAACTAGTATCAGCCAATCAGAGGAAGAGTACGGCGGGTTATGCCTTCTCCATCCGTGGAGAGAAAAAACTCCCCTACCGTCCGGGTGTCATGAGCAGGGGGGGGAGTAGGAAGGAGATGGCCGACTAAGAGGCAACGTTAGCTACTTCGTTGGCGAGATTCTTTTTGCACAACACATCTTCACAGCTTAAGTGGAAAGAGGACGTTTTAAATATTTCGCTCCTCTTCCACAATGGCGGAACAAAACAGCAACGTCAGATACCAGGAGGTATGTAACAGTTTGCTAGCACGCTAACATGTAGTTAGCTAGCAGCTAGCGTTAGCCACTACCCAGTCAGCTAACACTAGTCAACATTAGCCTGTCACTGAGAGGAAAACAACGAGCTCAATCGACATTTGTTTACGGGCAGGCCTGAGTTGGCGATAAACATCTCAAGCTTTTATAAAACCAAACTGATAACCTATTAAATGAATAACAGCGTTTTTGTCACATATATTTTGAAGCCAGTGTGACCCATTTTCAGTTAGGAGCTTATTAAGTTACTCATAACGTTAGCAGGTATTGGCTGGCCTGAACAGGAACGCTGTGCATTGACACTTTGTATAGCCTTGAACCAAATCCGTCATCCTACCTGACTGTGCTTTGGCCAGTCCAGCATGTCAGTAACTTAAACTCCACAGAGAGAACATGATCCAAATAATAACGTGAAGCCTGCTCCTTTATTGACACACATTGATATGAAGATGAGGTGTGAATTCGTGAGTGTACAGTTTAATTCGGACTATGTAGTTTTGATGACATATCAGAGGTAACTGTGTTACCACTGGCAGAACAAGAGCAGTTAATGCTTTCTGTTTGAAGAAAACAATGGCTGCAGGCACGTCCGTCATGACCACTTGTTTCACAGTATATAAATCAAGTGCGACATCAGTGATACTCCTACCTTGGTATTCTTTGAGTTGGCACAGTATCAGGATGTTTGCTTGCTCAGTACCTGTATACATAGGGCGTGCAAACCAAGAGGTGCTATGGATAAAATCATCCTTTAGTTTCACATTGCAATGTCAACCCACATCATATTGTTATAAAATCACCTGGAAATTCAATTTAGTAAGTGTTTACAGATTTAACAGATGATCTTGTTTGTTTTGGCAGCATCAAATGTCTGATGAATCAAGTAACTTCCTCATTGATGTAAAAATCTAGTACTTTCGATCCTACTCTGTGACTTGCAACTTTGTCACATCAAATTAAATCAGAAATTTTACAAGGCAACTGTTGATTAATATCTGTTGTCTCACGATATATCTAGAGTATTGCTTCCTTTACTGAAGCCCATGTACTTTGTTTCTTTTCATCATATCTAACAAGTAGTTTTCCTAGATGTCTTAATTTAAGTTTAACCTAATTTGTGTTGTCATTTATTAACTTTTCTTTAGCTGGTAAATGAGGAGGAACCATCCCAACCATCCCAGGAGAGTCCTGCCCAGGACGCACCACCACCCTACAGCAGCGTTGCTGCAGCAAATGCAGGTTAGGAACCTTCACGTACTGTCCTATAACTCAGAATAAACACAGTTTAGAAGTGAGAGTAATATTGAAATACATAAATACCAGTGCCACTTCATACAAATTCTCTAAGTCTTGCATCTAAAACTGTTGAGAGTGTTGAAGTAGTTAGTGAAATGTGCCCTAAGAATCAAAAGCAAAAATAATCACCATGAAGAATAGTTTTTTCCACAGTGTCACATTTCAGTCACAACGTGAGAACCTTTTCTGATAGCGGTGCCTTGCATTGGAGCAGGCTAAAGTTGCATCCTACTTTATCACAGCTTCAACCTGTATTTTAAAGTTAAAGCTGTCCTAACAGCTGCATTTACCTGCCTCAAATTTCATGAGCTCATCATGTGCTTTTTTAATCTTAAACCCTATTGTGCAATGTAGAAACATCCATCAGATAAATTATTTAAAACAATGGTAAAAAGTACAATATTTCCCACTGAAATCTCACAAATGAAGAACCGATACCTCATAACTCGTATACTGAAGAACAGTACTATAAAGAATAGTGTCAGTCTTCCGCTGTTGCTTGTTTTACACTGCTAGCCTTGGGATGAATAATGTAACGGGGAGTGGCTTGTGTGCAAGGCCTTTTAGAAAGGTCTGCTGTTTGTAATCTCACTTCTTAAGAGGGCATAGGTCAACACGTTGCATAAGTGGGTGTAGCCTTGAGCTCTTCCTGGGTGAGTTTATTGACATGGTCCAATGCTGTTTGTGTTTGAACAACACAAAGGGGCATTTTGGATATCTGCCAAATGACCCAGATAAAAGTCTTGGCTTGTATAAGACAGATCATAGACACTAATGGACACATATACAACTAATGTCTTTCTTCCTGCTGCAACTCATCCCTCCCTGGTCTGGTTTTATAATTGTCTGCTGCTGCTTTTCCTTTTGAAGGAAGTGAAAGTAGATTTTTGTCTGTCAACAGTTAAACCTGCGTAACAGCTTGTAAAGCAGTCCGCATTGGTAAATTTCAGTTCTGCAGTTACCGTCAGCATTTTAAGATACAAATTTGATACTGTAGCAGAATCAAAATAATATTTTCAGACCTTGATTTTCTAGAGAGCGTCTTTTATTCATCTATCACTGTGTTTTGTGTATCTGTGTTTATCTGTTAGTGGAGATAACCGATAACAACTGGTAACAGATGTTTCTTTTCTGCTTATAAATATGTGCCAAAATTACAAACGATAGGCCAAGTCATGTTTTATCATTTGCTACTCTTGTGCGTACAGCTTAAATCAGTAATGTTTTTTTTTTTAGTTCACATGTTACTAAATCCAGCTTTAAAGTGAGGGGGATGAAACACTAAAATTGCACACTTAATGTGGTTGGAGATTGTCTCTTAACTCTATTAAAAAGTTAGGTATGTTGCGTCCAACTTCACCGTCAACAGTGAAATTACCACCTTACTGCATTGAATGTATTTTCAGTATTAATGTTAGTCAGTACATGTCTTTTTTTTACCTTTATGTTGTTACCAATAAGACTCCACAATATTTGCTTTGTTTTACAAATTGTATAAAGTTATTGAGTGATTATTGCCTAAATACGTACATGAGATGACTTTTTTGCACAGTGTCAGCTAGGGTTGGGCAATATATGGATTTTACACTGATATCATGATACAAGGCTAGACATCATCTTGGATTTTGGACACTGTAACATTGTAAATGTTGTCCTTCTCTGGATTTAAAGGCAGCTTTAAGTGATGTAAATTTCTAAATTAACCAGACTGTTCTAGCTGTTTTATCATTTGTCATTACCCACTTAGTCGTTATATTTACATCACTAATGGTTATTTATCAAAAATATCATATGTGAAAGCATCAGCAGTTAACCATACAATATCACTGCAATATTGATATTGAGGTATTTGGTCAAAAATATTGTGATATTTGATTTTCTCCACATGACCCAGTTCTAATATCAGCTAGGGGTGGGGAAAAAATCAATACAGCATTTTTAAATATATAAATTATTAATATTACAAATACAAATTAAACTTCAGGTAGCTTACTAGAATGATATTATCACTTGCTTTTTCAGTCCACTAGATACATTTTGCTGCAAAAAATGGCTGAAGTGATATGAACTGACTAAAAAAACTTTATCTTATTAAATTAAACAGCTATTGACAAAGATTTCCTTTGTGGACATAATTTACAGTTGAAAAAAAGGCAATAAATTGCAATATATTTTATCACAATACTCAGCATATTATAACATTTAAAATCCCAATAATATTTTATCATGCCTTAAGTATTGTGATAATATCGTATCATGGATCTTCTGGTGATTCCCACCCCTAATGTCAGCTATGCTGCAGGATTTTATTAACCACATAGAAGAGTTCACCTCTGTGCCTGGATGAATAGCCATTTGCTTGTTATCTCTACAGCTTTCTTTGAATACAAAGAAGATGGAGGACGATTTCCAAATCCTCCATCCTACAGCGTTGCCACCACTCTGCCCTCCTATGATGAAGCGGAGAGGAGCAAAGAAGAGGCAGCCATCCCCCTGGTCACTGGAAGAGTCATGGTACACTGATTTAATTTTCAAACAGCATGTAGAAGTATTCCTCGTCATGCCGTAGTATTAAAGAAAACAACAAAGCAAATTGGAGGTAAGCACAAGTAATTGTAATGTATTTGCATATGTCTTGCTGTTGGCGCAGGAGGACGACTTTGTAGCCAGGGATGACTTTGAAGATGCTGACCAGCTGCGAATAGGAAACGACGGCATCTTCATGCTCACTTTCTTCAGTAAGAACTTGTTCAGCATTTCAACGGTCGACATGTTTACTGTGGTTCTTTCTAAAAGAGTAAACTGTCCTTCATTTCAGAGCCGGCTTGTAATCAGACCATTATTCATTATTTATATATCTGTAGAACTCTGGACAGTGATCATGCACTCTCTTTTAACATTTGTCATGCAGTAAGTCTTAAATTAGGGCTCTGCCAACGATTTTCTGAATTGAATTTGGCATATTCACAAGGGCTGTTAGATAACGTACTGGGTGCAAATGCCAGCACACTCACTGCACAAGTTTGTTTTCCAGCAAAAGATGGAGGAGGAGAGTGTGTGGCAGCCAGTTTCATGACTTCAAAAACACCTCACATTAAAAATCTTCTACTGTCTATTGGTCATGTTTTAAAAGTGACATATATGTTTGTTTTTTTTCGTCACCAGTGGCATTCCTCTTCAACTGGATCGGCTTCTTCTTGTCGTTTTGTTTGACCACATCAGCCGCCGGTCGATATGGGGCCATCTCTGGTTTCGGCCTGTCCCTCATCAAATGGGTCCTCATTGTCAGGGTAAGAACTGTTCACTGTATATTCATTAAAACCAGTTTGTATATCAGTATTTCATATCAGTATTTATTGGTATTACTGTAAAGAAAGACTTAAGCTACAGCTCTTAACAGATACTACTTTTTTTATTACTTCCAGTTTTCTACCTACTTCCCCGGTTACTTTGATGGACAGTACTGGTTGTGGTGGGTGTTCCTGGCCCTGGGTAAGTGAGAGATATTATTTTATAAACAAACAGCATTTCCTCCTATTACCCATGATTACATTAAGGTAAATCTCCGATGTTGCAGTATATATCTTTTCTTTGCCCTGCAGGCTTCATGCTGTTCATCAGAGGCTTTGTTAACTACTCCAGAGTGCGTAAACTGGCCGATCCCACCTACGCCACTCTTCCCCGAACAAGGGTACTCTTCATCTATTAGAGGTGAGGTGTTATTAGTGTGGTCACACTCATCGTGGTTTGTCATTGGAGACATGTACATGCACACAGGACTCCAGTCACAGTGAGGGATGAGATTAAGGCAATGATTAAAAAACAAACCAAACCAGAAATATCTGGCATTACTCATCACCCTGCAAGTGTCAAATGCCATTCAAATCTTAAGTAAATAAAGAAGTCAGGGCATAACTCACCTAAATCCCTGTTGGAACCGTAGGGAGTTGCACTGTGGGTAATAGAAGCACCATGGTTTTTGATGGAAGAAGAATGAATGGAAGCAAAAAGACGATGGTTTGCTTTGCACAGTTTTAGTGAGACCATAGTAGATAACAGCCACAGCAAAACCACATATTGATGCCTACTGGAATGTTTTTCAGTGCAGTTTGTGTTGTCTTGCTAAGTTGTATGTATCTTTTATTCACAGGTAAAAGTCTCACTGAGATTTAGGGTGCTTTCAGACCTCGAGTTGTCTTGCTTTGGTCTGAATCAGGGACTTATTTTGTTACAAATTTTCATTATTGCCTAGAGTTGGTTCGTGTTCTCACGGCAGCATTTACAGGTGGACCAAGTAAAATGCCTTGCGCGAGAAAGCTGCTCTTGATTGGTCAGAATTTCCTTGCTGGAAAAATCCAGGAAGAAGAAACAAAATGTTGAAGAATAGTACACTTGCAAGATAAATGCGACACTTTTTAATGTCACAATGGAGGGACAACTACGCAGGTTGATTTTAGCGCTGGTCATCGTGGACTATATTGCTGTCATTGTTCATTTTAGGCAAAACATACAGTTCGAAAATGAGGCACGGCTCCAACTAGAAAACAATGTTCTGATGCATTGGATGTGCTGAATGTGCATATTAAGGCAGTACAGGAGGAGGTGCACATTAATAATCCTCCAGGACTGTAACATGCTCATGTTTAACCCAAACAATGTGTCATGTGACTGCAGTTGGTTCAGATCGAGGTCGGAACACGTTCTCACCACAAACGAACCACACTTGGGGGGCGAACAAACTTGAGTTTGATTGAACCGAATCAAACGAGGCAGGTGTGAAAGCACCCTTAAAATCTCATTTTTCAAAAGCAACCTGGCGGAGAGGTAGCATAAACATCATTACAATGATTAACACAAACAGATGAGTACAACTGTCACATATCACACATGAGCAGGCATAAAAGTTAAAATGCAACACAGTTAAATACATAAACATGTACAATTTTCTAAAAACTAACCTAAAGATGTGTATTGCTAAAAAGCCAACATTAGATGTTACCAGTCTAAAAGTTGCAAGTTCAGCATCAAACCTCATCTTTTTACTGTCCAAGAGCCGCCTCCAGCAGTGAAAAGCCACGCCAGTGTTAACTCTTGTTTTGCTTCATTTTAAATCACTTCTTTTCTTTGCCGCCAAACGCAGTTTCTTGCCAGGGGCAAGATGTGGGGTAGTGTTAGATGCCACTCAGCTCAGTTTCGGCCATCTTTTGCTTTATGTTGTTGATGTAGCTTTTGTGTTTACTGTCCTACTTCAGGCAGCTGTACTTGTCTCATGTTGGACTGAGTGCAGACTGGGTGCTATAGTAGCCCTTTTACACTGCCTGTTCCAGGCGGGAATGTTGCGCCGTTATTCCGCTTACCACCTAAATTAATACTTCCGATACGTTATTTATATGGCCTTGGAAAGTTAATTCAATATTTGTGAACATGAGCTAGTCTGTTAAATCCAGAAACCAGAGAAGTAAACATGTGATTTCATCAAGTATAAAGTGTGGAGCTGCTCCACAGACAGTGAATGGGAGTGGACCCACAGACTGTTTTCTTAACAGGTCTGACCGGCCCCGTTTGGTCATGTATCATGATGTAGCTTCGAGCAATCAGGGGCTTGAGTTGAGCTATTTATAGGCAGCTGACGGACAGAGCCATGATCTGTTTAGAGACCAGTAACAAGGAAAATGAATGGACACATTTAGATAAAAAACGTCGGGCAACATCAGGTAATGTGTGTTTTTAATCTGCTGGAAGGATTTTTCAGTCAAAGGTGAAACAACAAGGTTATGGTGCGATTTGCTGTGCCTCACTCATTAACTTAAACAGAACTGGCATCAAAGCAAAATTCGATCACTGTCAGTGACATCATGACTTTGCTTCTTTTATATTTTCCTCGGATAAATGCGGGGTATTAAAAATGAAGTTAAAATGTTGCCTTAATCTTGTCAGCCAGAGTTATTGATGTGCATGGAAACAGCCACTGACAAACCACAGACATCACCATCACAGCACACGTACATGAATATTAATTATTTGTACATCTTCCTTCAACCTAAACCCAGGACGTTGGATTTGGCAGAAGCGGACATGACCAACACGAGCAGTAACTCTGTGAGGAGTTTCAAATTTCAAAGTGAAGACACTTAACTCCAAATCGGCCAGACGAGTTATAGATGAAGACGACTCTCAATAAAATATTCAGGAATTATATCACTTTGTTTTATTTTGTTTTGAGACTTTATTAATGGAAAATGGTTAACAGTAATAGTCCCTCGATGTACTCATTAGTGGCGAATGTTAAGTGCTATTTACATCTCTGTCTGTAATGTATAAGTAATTCCTTATATCATTTGATGGTAGCGTACGAGCATGCATCTGCCCTTAAGGTCAATAAATAGGGAGTGTCTCATGTTGGTGACACTTGAAGCCAACAGGTATTAATGAACACAACACTCGTTAGACTTGCCACAGCATGCGACACACTTTGTAATCTGCACTAATCATGGTTTTATTGTGACTGTTAGAGGCTGTTTGTTTTTTTAGACCCCACATACACTTAGAAAGCAAAGCTGTCATTAGGCTGTAAATGCTGATATAACACATACTTAACTCACCTGTTGGCTTTAAGTAGTGTTGCCCTTTTGTTTAGCCAGGAGGGGGCAGTGTTGTCTGCTGCTTTAGAAACTGTTCGTTCACGGCATTGTCATGATGGAACATACATGCTTGCGATTCAAACGCAGTGTCAGCAGAGCACATTAAAATGACATCCATGTATCAGAAGTTATGATTTTGCCTGTTAGATATTTTGTTGTACTTTAAATCAGGTGAATCTATCCACCTGGAAATAGAATTTAGGTTATGGTTTTAATTTAGACAATCCAGTTTGAGCCAGAAACCAGACGGCCACAAATGTCAAGGCGACAAACCCCAGAGCAGCTCGGGGATGACAGTGAAGAGATTTTGTGACAGCAACCAAGATTTTTTTGTTATGGGCGTGTGAGCACATTTTCTGGTTCACATCCTTAAAAATCTCATGGAGATGTCACAGCCTGACCTTTCCATGACTCCTCAGTGAGTCAGCAGAGTCAGCATCTCATTCACTGTGAGTGGAAAAGCTCTGTGATTATAGAAAAGAGTCTGGGCTGTTAATGATATCGCTCAGACGTTTGGATCGAATTATCTAAGAGCATAAAAATTCCATTTTCAGGTGGGTTTTTGCCTTAAGATTTAATTGACATATGGGGAAGGGAAATCTGTTTTTCTTACTCTTCTTTTATTTGTTTTTTTCTTTGAAAATGAGGTGTAAGATGTTAGCTATCTTGTGGGTATAAAGACTATGTCAACGAATGTTGTATGCAGGTGCACTTTTAGAAACACGACCAGTAAAACCCAGAGGATGTTCCCATCATTATTTTAAGTCCCAGACATATAAAAACAAGGAATGACTGACGCTGTGGTTTCTGTTTTATATATTGGTGGGAACGGCATGTTCATGATCTCACCACTGTCGTCATTGGAAGGAGTTCATATGGATTTGAGTCTGATCCAGCAAACTGAAACTGTTTGCCTCATCGGTTAACTTCATATTTCTGCCATTGCTTTGATACAGACCCATTATGCTTATTTCTATGTGATGTAGAGCTGCAATCTTGGGGTTTTGTTGTTATGAAACTGTACAGTTTAGTGTTAAATAAATGTCACTTTTAATGCGTCATTTCTGAGTTGTCTGGATTGTGTTACATAAAAGATTATGTTACTTACAGGCTGGCATTATGAAACCAAGTTACTGGTGGAAAGGGCATGAAAATAAAAATGTGTAGCTCAAGCCTGGGGCAGCTTTTATGTGTGTGGAAGGGTGCACTGGGTAATTTTACACATTGGCGACACCAAGTGGCAGTGACGTGTAACTGCTGGAGATATGAAATAACAGTTTTTCAGCTTGACACATTGTTAATTACAGAGAAGTTTAGTGGCTCAGTGACCTATATCAAGCTGTTAATTGACACTCTTCTAATCTGCTGAGGCGTTACCCCTCAAGAGCAAAGTGTCAGATGCAGAAAAGTCGAACAAGAAAGAACTGGAAGCACATGTCCTCAAGCCAACATTTTCAATCAGTAGGTTACAATGTTGTAAGTGTAGTAGTTTATGACAAATACGAGTTAGTTGCTGCATCTGGTCTAACTGTCCACCAAATTTCACTGACATCTGGAGACAATTTTTAAGATAATTAAAGGGACAGTTCACCCCCAAATCAAATGTACATGTATTTCCTTCTTACTTGTAGTGCTTTTTTATTAATCTAGATTGTTTTGGTGTGAGATACCGAGTGTTGGAGATATTGGCTAGATGGCACTCTGCTTGTGGTGCTGAGAGCACCAAAAAAAAATACATTTGAAAAACTCAACAGCAGTGGCTCTTCACAGAAACCATGACCCCGTTACTCAAGATAATCCAGAGACTACATGTAGGAACTATGTTCTTTCTGCTAAACTACACCCACCAACCGTATCACCGCACAGAAGGAAGCGTGGATCTACTGCTGGCTCACGTAACACCACTGAACTAGCTAACATTACAGCTCAGCCTAGGAGGATGCCATTTTTTTTTACATCTTGCACTGCCACGAGCACGAGCCTCTCGTCCATGAGTAGATGCACATATCCTTCTGTGCACTGATATGGTTTGTAAGTGTAGTTTAGCAGAAAGAGAAAAGTTCCTACATGAAATTGCTCACAACAAGGTCTGTGGATTATTTTGAGTAAACATGTCATGATTTCTGGAAAGAGACATTGCTGTTGAGTTTTTACAAATATATTTTTTGGCACTTTGAGCACCTCAAACTGAGTGCCATCTTGTTCCATTATATTGGAGAGAAGGCAGACATCTCTACAGCTGATATCTCCAACACTCTGCAGCTCACAGCAACACAATCTAGACTGACAAACAGCACTATGGGTAAGAAGAAAATGTTTGAATTTGGGGTGAACTGTCCCTTTAAAAGTTTAGGTAACTAAAAATAATCATACTCCTGGTACTATACAACTTTTTAGTAATAATAGAATGTGTTTTATGGATTATACTGTTTTCTTGTTTGTTCTTTTCGTCTGTGCAGTCAGGACATCTGCTACCAACTAAAACAGGATGTTGTTAGTGGACACAAAGATGCTGACACACAGTCTTTTCTCTGGTGCAAAGCTGGCCCTCCAATAATTACGCCTCAGATTAACATTAAAAAGACTTAGCCTCCTTTTGATCTTGACCGATTTGTTTTTGCAAGCCAGTGTGTCATCACCTATTTTCGCACCACTTCTTCAAGTCTTGTTCTGGCCCAATTCATGAGCTAAAACGGTAAAGTAGGTGTATCTGAACAAAACTTCCTCCTGGTGCATTCTGTCTGAGGTATCTTTGTGTTCTTCACTCATCAGACTCACTCAGCTGTCGGGGCAGAAAGAAGACGGCCTTCTGTCCGAGGTGAGTCCTTGGACCCAGTTTAGGTTTCCCGTTCTTTTTCAGGCCTACGTACCAGTTCCTCTCCTGATATTTCTGAGGCATATATGTGTTGTAGTGGTTCTCCTCCAGCTTCTCCAGGAAGTAACACTCATCAGTCACTGTGGGCTGAGATGTAAACACAAACAAGCACCAACAGCTGACAGCACTTTAATTTGTTTGGTTTGAGATTGAAAGCGAAAAAATCCAGTCACCACAGAGCGATTAATCATTTACAACAGATATCACAGAATATTTATCTACATAGGTCTGCGTTGCTAAGTTTAATTTACTGATTTACTATCACATATCATCATGAGGTCTGTTGTAGATACTCACTGAATTGTACAGTCGCCCCTCGTCGCTCATGGCCAAATATCGCCCGGCTTCTGTTCCACGGATCACCACTACGCCTCTGTCCACAGCTTTGAGCTTTAAAACAACTGCAAGGAGAACACGTGTAATATAACATGAAAATAAATACCATAGCAACAAATGAAACCTGTAAACGCGTCTCCTCAAAGATGGGTCGCTTTCTTTTCCGGTAAGAGAAAAATGGCTCTGAGATTCCTCGTCCAAACTTTCAGGCTGTTTGCTCTCAGCTTTAGTCAGCGCACAGATGAATGGGACAGTAGATGTTAAACAATTTTAACTCGTTTAAGTCTACACTGTCGGTCAGTTTCTTTGGCATTTCAACTGGATGTACTCAAGTATAAAACACAGAGCCTTTCACAACAGAAACAAAAGTAATAGATGGCAAATGTGCATTTTAATTCATCTAGTTTTATTAGTTTTATTTACGATGACAGTGCTCACTGATCAACAGAAAGAACTGTAAATGAGATAACCTGACCAGATGTAAAAATATAAACATAAACGAGACGTCTTATGGAATTTATATACAAATTAATACTTTGCACAAAATATCACAGTACATATGGCAGTTTATAATATTTTCATTATGTCTCTGTAGCCTATTTATCATTTACAAATAGGCCATACCTCTGAAAACACCACCATGTGTCCTGGTCATGTGTGTGTTATACAATTTCACATTTTATTTACATTGATAGTTGAGCTTTCAGTCCCAACCCTCTGGGATGAGAGGTGAAATGTCTTCAAGAAATGCAAGCATGTCCAGTTGCCTACGATACAGCAAATGTTTACCATGACCAGGATGACTAAGAATCTTCACTGACGAGACTCCTGGTCTGGTTGACAAGTCTGTTTTTTTTTTACAGAAGGTCTTCGGATGTATAAAACCGGGTTGGTGGCTTCTTCAAATTATGTGTCCATTCCTCCTTTACTCTGTAAGTCTTCAGATTTGAAAGGATCAAAAGGGTTTTAATCCAGTTTTTGAGCATTGTTTTTACAGGATAAAGTGGTGTTGTGTCGGTGGGCATATTCATACTGGTTTCATTAAACAATTTGATTATGTTTCCCATTGTTGCTGAGCAACAGTTTTGTGTGAGTGGAATTAAAGGCCTGTCCCAAATATAGGCCTGTTTATTTCAGGGATTGAACCAAATATTAGCCCAGGCTATTAATTGAAGTTGTACGGTAATTTATGTTAGACAATGCACACAAATGTTTTCTTTTTAATTAGTTGTGATTAGTCATTATGTGCATTTATGCCAGTGGCTTACATTATGGGGCTGATTGGCACAGTGTTAAAATGCTATAGTTGCAAAAAAAAAAGAAATAATTTGACCATTTAATTCAGACAAGAAACCAAAAACAATAGTATAATAGAATAATAGAATATCTGGCCCATTTTAAAAACCAAACAACTTTTTTGAGTGATTTATCAATAGGTATATCGTATTACTTTTGCCATTAACCATCTAAAGTAATAATAATGAAAAAATAACAATATAAACAGTGTGTTTAATCTCACAGGATAGTTTTAAACTCTACAAATACAGTTGCTAATTTTACAATTAGCTGGCAGAGTCAGTGGGTCGACCAACCCCGCTTACATTTGACCCAACTTCGTGAAATGATGTTAACCAGCTACCATCACTCATTGCAGACTTTCAAATCTTGTATGAACACATAGCTGATTCCTTTGTCTATTAACCAGAAGTAACACATTTATAATACATCTACTCCACAGACCACTTTTTTTACTTAAGATACTATAAAACTGAAATGTTACCCTCATCAATGAAGTTAGTGACTTTCATATGTTTAAACCTGGTAGAAGAGTGCAGGTGAAGAAAGCATTTTGACCTTAAAATGACCAGAAATTAGCTGTGTGCCAACCATCCCCAGTCTCCCCTTCACCTGTGCAACGCACACCTACTCGGGATGCTCTACAGGCCACTTCCTAATCCTAAAATGAGCGGCACCCCCCTTTTAAATGTCAGCAAATGGCTTCCACGTTTTCAACTAAAAGGAGTTTCTTGAGTGCACATTTTTTCCCCTGCTCTTTGAGCCTGACACACCTGCAGCAAAGGAAGTGAACGCATCATGTTGTAGGCCTGACCTGGATGTAAAGTGCGCTGTGTCGTGCTGCGGTCTCTTACTGTGAGCGTCCCCGTCATCCCTCTGGCCCTGCACCGTCCCATCGGGGAGGATCTGGAGGTGATGTCCGCCATTCATGCAGTACAGCCGAGTCAGCCGCCTGGAGTCCCGCAGCGGGCCGCTCTCCACCGTCTGCTCCTCCGACACTAGCACCTCCTCATCCGTCATCCCGCTCGGAGGACACACAGATGTGTCACCAGCAGGGAGCTGTGTGGGGGAGCTTGGTTTTTGTGAGAAGGAAATCAGCGGAATCAGTCCCCTGCAGTGGTCAGGTGTTTACATGCTCGTGAACGCGCGCAGAGATCACAGAGACAGCTGGGTGCGCGTGCCCGACTCCTGGCCTCAGCCTCCAACGGGGATAATGAAGTGTGATCAGTGACCTCAGCCCTGACTACTGCACCTGTGGGAGATAGTGTGGCAATAATAGTGTAGTAATGATAATAAATAAGTTCAGTAATGTTGTATTTTTGTTTATTTTGTTTACCAGCTATTAAACAATTAGGTAATTCATCACCATTCGACACCAGGTCTGTATGATGAATATATGAATTATAATTGTTAGCAGTGGTAAAAGACGTGCTCCTTTACTTCAGTAAAGGTAGCAATACCACAGGGACAAAGATTTTGTTACAAGTTAAAGTCCTGCTTTAAAATAGGCCAATACCTAAATAATACACAGAAATTACCAGCAAATTGTACTTGAAATAAAATAAGTACAAGAACTCATTGTGCAAAATGGCTCCATTCAAAGTATTTCATTTATTATCTTACTATATAATGATGAAAACTGTCTGTCTGTGTGTCTGTCCCACGTTTTTCTCCTCACTGACTTGGTCAATCCATGTGAAATTTGGCACAGTGGTAGAGGGTCATGGGAGGATGTGAATGAAGCAATATTACATCAGTTGGCCAAAGGGGGGCGCTATAGCAACCGATTGAAAATGCAAACTTTGAACCCATAACTTCCGGTTCTATAGATTTTCTACACCATTTTGAATTTTTTGAAAAACACTTAAAATCGATCTCTTCCTAGGAAGTTTGACCGATCTGCATGAAACTGGGTGAACATAATCTAGGGACCAATATCTAAAGTTCCTTCTTGGCAAAAGTTGGAAAACTTACTAAAACTGAGCTTCTATAAGGCAATGAATATTGCGGAGGGCGTGGCTCATCACATAAAGGTGTATAACATCTCAAGGGTTTCACCGATCACCACACAACTTTGTAGGCATATGACCACACATAATCTGAGGGGACCCCTCCATTATTGACCCCATCAAACAAAATGGGGGCGCTAGAGAGCTAATTTCTTATCTAGGCCTAACCGCCATATCGATTTTTACTAAATTTGGTAGATATGTAGAACAGGACGCCTCAAGGTGACTGGAGAAATTTAACTCTAATTGGCAACTGGGTGGCGCTATAACAACAGAAAAATGCTTAAAAATGGCTACAATGCGACCGATCGCTGTGGCTCCCCCTGTGGCTGAATGTTTGTTTGTTTTCCTAATTTTTGGTATGACTAAGTCATGATATGGTATGCTGTACATAATCACGGAAACTGTCAGTGTGTCATTCTCTCAGTCATTCTGTCTGTTCGACGTTTTCCTACTCACTGACGTGGTCAATCTATGTGAAACTGCATGTAGGCATTGAGGATTGGCATAGGTAGAAGGTGACAAAGCTACCAATGGGTATGGACTAGTTTAGTTTATTATTGTAATTTTATCCCTGGTTTATTATAGCACTGATGATAGCCAAGGACTGAAACTTACGGATGTCCTAAATAATTTTCTTTTTGCATTGATCTCAGCCTGTAAACCTTTTCGTGGCTTTCCAGCCCAGTTGCATTGGTGTGCAGGTATCTCCTCTGCCGTCCTTTCTTGGTTGTCCATTGTACTGACGCACCCAAGATAAACCTTTTTATTATTGCCCTAAGTAGGTGCAGTTTCACAGCAGCCCTAAGACTTTGCTATTCCTGATTTATTGCCCTCTAAGCAGCATCTGGATGGTGTCAGTGTAGAGCTGTTAGGTAGTTTCATCTATAACAATGCAGATTTTTATGAACTGAAATGGTTTCACAAATAAAATCTTGATTGGAAAAGTAACTTAAGCTACAGGGGAGTAGAAAGTACAATATTTACCTCTGAAATACGGTGGGGTCATAGTGAAGAGTAGCACAAAATGAAAATGCACAGATAAAGTACATGTGCCCCCAATTATATACTTAAAGGGACAGTTCACTCCACATAGAAAACACATATTTTTCCTCTGCTGTGTTGGATGATGGAAAGCCGGTATTTGTCTTGATAAGATTTTAACATTTCTGTATGCAGCTCCTTTTATGTGGAATCCTCTGCAACTCAAAATTGCACTCTTTGGTTCCTCTCGGCCGTTTCAAAGCACTCTTGTGCTGTCATAGTCAATGTCATAGTGTGTCTTAGCTGGTCATTGTAACCATGTGTAGTTGCCCGTTTTTACGTTTGTATGGTTCACTTCGGGTATACATTAACATACTCTTTGGTTTTTCTTTGTAGTGATCTTATTTGTATTTTATATTGCTTGTTTTAGAGCTGTACATTTTTATTCTGTGTTCTTGAAAAAGAGATTTTGTATCTCAAGAGGTTTTTATGGTTACATAAAGGTTAAGAAATCAGAAATCATGTCTCAGTTATACTCAAGATAATCCACAGGTCTTGTTATGAGCAGTTTCATGTAGGAACTATTTTCTCTCTACCGAACTACACCTGCCAACCGTATCACTGCTCAGAAGGAAGAATGCATCTACTGCTAGCCCACCTAGCACCACTGAGCTAGCTAACGTTACAGCTTAGTTGATGAGGACGCCTTTAATGTTTAAATCTACAAGCCTCTGGTCCATGAGTAGATGTACACTTCCTTCTGTGCATTGATAAGGTTGGAGAGTGTAGTTTGGTAGAAATAGTTCCTACATTAAACTGCTCACAACAAGGTCTGTGGATATCCGGGTCATGACTTCTGCACAGACACATTGCTGTGGAGTTTTTCAAATATATTTTTTGGCACTTTGAGCACCACAAGCTGAGTGCCATGTTCCATTATATTGGCGTGAAAGCAGACATCTCTACGGGCGATCTCTCCAACACTCAACTGATTTTAGGGTGAACTGTCCCTCAAGTACAATACTTAAGTAAATGTACATAGTTACAATCACCAACTGAATCTTAGTAGTTGATTTTAATTCACTGGATGGCGACTAAAATGTGGTTAAGACAGTTTAGATAAGAGAAAGGTCTTGATCGTGGTTAAATAAGGAAAAAGTCAGCACTGACTTCTGAAGTAGTGCTGGGACTGGAGGCTGGATCCAACCCCTGGATACAGGTGTCGACGCCAGCTGTTTGTCCTTCAACAAAACCAGAATTCCAGTAAACTCCAACAGCCTTCATCAACAGTCAATAAACCAGGTGTCAGAATGGAAAAGCGTATTTATTTGATGAACAAGTGCTTGCTGTGATAATGAGAGGTGTCTTACAATGAGCTTACCGTTTCCATAGTTCAGTATCATCGAGTTAATATCATGGCAAACATCAGCATACAGTTCCTTGTTTTGGGAAGTACCACACAAAGACATACAGTTTGACCTTTAATCAATGGAGGAAAAGATCAACAGGAGTCACACTACAGAGGAGAAATAATACAGCAGGGGTAGGTATAGAAAAACTATTATTTGGAGACAAATACACCACATTTTCTTTACAATGGATTATATGTACATATTCAAATTTGTAAGCAAAACAAATGTTTTTTTTTCTTCGTTTTTTAGAGAAAGCATATACCAGTGAAACATGATCTGCCCTTGATAATTCTGAAAAGTTAATGTCTGCATATGTTCTATACAAAATAGATTTTCAAACAATATTTGGGTAGTGCAAATCTTTTTTTGTTTTGTTTTTTTAGATTCAAGCTGGTTGATTACTTTCACAAACAGTTTGTGTGTGAAATAGACTGACTCCTATCCTATTCACAGTATTACACAATTTGACCAAAGCTGTCATGTTAGAGTAAAAAAAGAAAGAAAGAAAAAAAGAAAGAAAGAAAGAAAGAAAATGTGTTTAATACACAAAACAAAGAACTGTACATTTGTCCTCTAGGAGCTACGTAGTTGACACGGACACGTGTTGAATTTGTCTGTGCTTGCTTTGGTCACCTTGTAGTCAAACATCAAATAGGCTTATTGTGTGCAGTCTGTCGACTGTGTACTCGACTGTGTACTGAAGAAGTGTATCTTTTCCTGAAAATCTGGCCTGCAGAGATAATGTTAACTGAATCTCCTGTATGCAAATAGCTTATACTGGAAAAAAGACTAAATTAAAACAAAAAAAGAAAAGGAAGCAACATCTTGTTATGTGATGTTGACAGATAATCTGTCATTTCTATTGCATATTTAGTTGTCCTCCTCAAAAATGCACAAGAAAGTAAGCAAGGATACATTTTTGAGTGAGAAGAGGCAAGTGTGCGATTTATAATGAAGAGCAGCAGCAGCGGAGATATGGATACACTGAATGTGAAAGTAACCCATGAGTAACCCCTATGCAATTAATGAAGATGTTTTTGACTATTTTGAATAAACATCAGAAAGAAAAAAATAGTAAATATCTGTCTTCTGAGTCGGGGTGTGAAAGACAACAGTGGCAGCACATTCCTACAACTTTGCTAATCCTGACAATGAAAAGGAGAAACACCATAAATCACAGAGGCAGACACATTTTGGGAAACTGACTGTTTTTGGTTCTGAAAGTCTAAAGCGACTAAACATGGACAACCACATACTGTGTGAATTTCAACAACCTGAGCGCGGGAGCAAAATTCATAACGAGTGCTTTTAAATTTGTTGGGATAGCAAAACAATTTTCCGTATTTAAATTGTGATTTGTGATATTGGGCTTTAAAAATAAAATTGATTGTTTGATTGAAATGAGCACTTTGTAGTCGCTCACTTGACATATTTATCCAATTATTTCAAATTGGCAGGGCGTCACTTAAATAAATTCCTCTTTAAGGTTAACATTCATTTCAAAACCTGGATTATTTTGTGCTTTGAACACAAACAACAAGACAAACTGAGCTGACAACTGATGAAAATGTCACAGCACATTTCAAATTTACTCACACGACACGCAGATACTGACAGACCTACGTTCCTCTGTGTGATCACAGCTGTAAGTGCCTTGTGTTACGAATACAGCTCGGTTATCGCTCATTAATAATGACCTCAATATGGCTGACAGAAGCTCAGATAACTCAGGAAAATCGATTTCCTTCTTCTGATAAAAAACACTGACCAACTCTGAGCATCACTGAAAACAGACAAAACCGGAGTTTGGCACTGAAATAGTTCCCAGAGAATTAAAAAGGATCCATTTTGCCCGCCTCCCCAGTCAGTGACGCCATGCTTTCACTACGACATGACTCAGTGAGGTGACTGATGCTAAGTGCTTTCGAACACTGGGACTCGACTAACTAACGGACAGACAAATAAATGTGTAAATGTACTAAACACAGACATGAAGACAAGGTGCCTACGGGGCATTAAAGGAGCAGAAGGCTTCAACAGGAGGGGTCGTAGGTTATCAGCAGCTGTGGGAGGTTTACAGGGTAATGAATCTGCCTGATCCAAAAAGCTGTATACACAAGCTGTCTATTATACAAACCGTTCATTTTAAAAAGGAAGAGTTCAACACTTTGGGACATGCACTCATTCACTCACTTGTCAAGAGTTATGAAAAGACTGATAGTACTCTCATGCCTGTATAGAGACTATGAAGCCATGGCCAGGAGCCAGTTAGCTCATACAGACTGGAAGCAGGCGGGGAAACAGCTTGCCTGGCTCTGTCGAAAGGCAACAGAATGTACTTGCTAACTCTGCAGCTCAGCAATACATGTTTCATCTCATTTGTTTAATCACTACCAAAACTGAAGAACACTTAAAGAAAGGAAGTAACTAGTCCTGGCAAAGACACAGACTGCTTTTCATTATGCTAACATATGCTTCCTCATGTCCTTTCTCCTCATCATCTTCCCATACCTTAAATGGTCTTCACAGGGGTGGAGAGAGGAGGCTTTTGGAGAAACTTAAAGCAAGGAAACATGAGTGTATCCTAAGTAACGTAAGTGACGTGATGTATAAATGCTGCACCTCTACATTTGGCACAGCAACTGACGCAGCCTTAGACTGACACTATGGAACCAAGCATTTCTCATTTGGCAGCTTTGGATCCACCGCCCTCGTGTCTTTTACTCGCATCTCTCTCTCTCATCCTTGCTGGGAGGAGCTAAGACGCGAGCAAGAGACGCCAGTTAGGGAAACGAGGTGACATATAAGCGTAATGTAACGCACAAATAGTTCAGCACATAACCCTAGAAAAACTGCAAATTGTTGTTTGTATTCTTTGTTTTATGTGGGGTTGTACCAAATATCTTTTTTTTGTTCCGTTTCAAACATTCAAATGTTCTCATGTTTTCACATATTTGGTTTACATGCATTTTAAACAATCCTATGCAGCCTCCACTGAAATCTAGTTCTACAAATTGTATAAAACTATTAATGAAGCCTATCTGCTTATACGCAACTGGGCAGGATGAATAGAAATGCAAGAAAAAAAAGCCATTACTCGTACAGATTAAACAAATGACATATAGCATGAGTTTAACCAAGCTTTAGAGGTGCTGGTAGGCAGATTTTGTTCCCTTCTGACAGAGCGAGGTCAGCCATTTTCCTCATTTCCCGTCTTAATGCTACGCTAAAGCTAACAAGCTGTTGGCTGCAGCTACATATTTACCCTACAAACATACACGTGGTGTCAGTCTTCTCATCTATCTCAGCATGAAAGCAAATAAATGCATCTCCCGGGACATTAAACTATTCCTTTAACAAATATAGCAATGCGACAATGCAAAGGCTTTCAGTAAGTTACTATCCAAAGTACTCCAACACACTGTCAGAGAAGGATCATGACTCCATGTTTGTCAGTTTTACAAAACAGACCGTAAAAAGAAATAAAAAATGAAGGACGGTTATTTTCCAACCAGTTTGACCATGTTAGAACCACAGAAATCTGTTTTCCTGATGAAACAAAAAAAGACAATCTTGCAAACACAATAAAATATGCCCTCTCTTCTCTGATTGGTAGACGCAGGTATCTAACACATTCCATTATTAGACTATCGGGACAGGATCGGGGGCTAAAATAAACATCAAAGTCGGCTACGTCCTATAGAAAAGTTTTTCAAACTTCCATCTAAAGTCATATAGCAAAGACTGGTACAGCGTAACAGTCTTTCTTCACAGTCTTTTAAAGCCTTTAGCAGGGTACAAAGTGCTCGAATCGCACTTAAGGAGTTGAGTGTGCGGGAGATTGCGTGAAAGGAAGCAGGCTTCGAATATTCTGTCTTATAGGTGAGGATAATTTTCTACACGCAGAGGATGGGCCGAGCTGCCACTTCTAAAGATAAACACAGCCATTTAGAAAAAAAGGAAAACTTGCGACTGCATGTAACATAAAGAGTACAATCAAGATACGATGAAGGTAGACCATAGTGGGTTAAAGAGACCACACCTTTAACAGGAAGGAAGAGATGGCTAAGATGATATTTGAAGCAAAAAAGGCACATATTTTTTTCCCTTTTATAATAGACGTGTGTAAACCTGGAAGAGGTCGGCCCTTGGGAGAAATCATCCTTTTAATGATGGACGTCGAGTAACAATCCAACAGAATTGTTTTCTTACGTCCAATCAAAGCAATGAAATACGCTTTTTAAATGACTGGAAAACAGAGTTTTCTCCCCATATGACTGATAAACTTTTTTTTTTTTTTTACAACCTATAAAAACTAAAAGAGGAACATACAGTCTAAAAGCCTACTTAAGAGCATGTTATTAATTAAGCTTTGTTACCTTTCCAGGTAACAATGACCTGGAAAATTGTATAAACTGTTACCATTTGAAAATGTAGAAAATACTATCAGAACCTGTACATAGATATTTGTTTTATCTACCTTAGATATCGTTCTGTATTTGAAGGTAAGAAACCTGAGACAACGTGGATGTTAGCCTATATCTCTTTGTGATTATCTTTTATCTTACAAACATTTCCTACTTGTTATACACAACATCTTAGACTGCTCAACAAAACAAATCTCTGTGCTCGCTGTCTGGTTTCTACACAAACGTCTCCAGTCTCTCTCCCTCCAGACTTGTAAGCCACTACACAAAGTTGCATACTCGCTCCCAGGAACATTGCTCGCTCCTCGCCTTGGATCCTCGTTTCTTTTATCATCGCTCTTTGGGGGGGTGGGTTGGGAGTGGGGGTGGGGGAGAAATTGGTGAGGTGATGTGGTGGGATTTTAAGGCATTGTGTCTGTTACGGGGCACAGTCATCTCTGGTGGAAGAGGAGAGGTTTGACGCTTCCGGCCTTGAATTTTGGTAACTGGTTGCTGATGATCTCGGCGAGCATCTCCGGGAACTCCACACTCAGGGATTTATTCACAAAGGTGTAGAAGCAGAAGCTGAGCAGTCCACCGACCAGCTGCAGACACACAGAGAGAATGTATTAGTGGGTAATTGACACAAAAGCACACAGTGAGTGTTTGGTGATGTGAGAAAAACAGGTATCTTGATATTGGCGTACATTATATCTGAAGTTGATCTGATGGTACATACATTTCAACTGCAGTCATTATTTAGAGACATTAATTGGTCATTATCATCACATACGCAAATACCAGGGAGAGACACATTTCTCTGTTCGAGCATTCTGTATTAATGAAGGCCTGGTTCCACAAAATAAGCGAAGAGAAGTTACATCCCATTTGTTATAACCGTATCAAATACTACAAATCAAGGTAACTTTGCATTATAGGAAAAACTTTTCTCTGAACTGCTCAAATGTTTTAAACTAACAACATCAGTTTGATCACAGATCAGAATCATCTCTTAAGGATAAAAGGGAAAGCTAGATTCTTTGAAGTGGGGTTGTATGAGGTACTTCTCCATAGTCAGTATAGTACCTACAACAGATGGCAGTCAGTACGGCCCCAGTTTAGAGAAGCACGCAGGAGTACCACCACAGAAGCTAAGCTATAATGCTATGGACAGCAGCCGCAGCAAAACACATTTTAAAAATGAAGCCAATGTGGAAGTGCCAAAAACTGCAATTTATCGAATGGCTACTTGAGGGTGGTTCCGAAACAGTAAATTCCCATAGACCCTCATGTTAAGATGCCAAACTTTACAGCAGAAATAAACATGTTTACAGCCTGGTACAAAAATCGGTTTAGGTCTCTTTGGCTTATTTCAACATTCATGACAACTGTAAGGGGCAGAATTTTTCTATGACTAATACGTTTACATTTTACTATGGCCCAAAGTTGCGCATATTTAAGAGTGGGGTCTCTAGAGTGACTGAGTGAGAGACTGATCTAGAGTGAGCTGTCCTGATAGGGTAACTTATGGCTCCAAAAAACCAAGATGGCCACAGCCGAAATGCCAAATTCAAGGCTTCAAAATAGTTGCCCACAAACCAATGGGTGGTGTCTATTATTTATTCAGTCTAAGATTTTATCCACCTAAAACAAAATCAGTATCAGTTAAGGTGTGCACCATATTTAGAATATTTATCTACTCCACCTTTCCGTCAGACAGCCCTTTCCGCCAGGGAACTGAACTGAAACTTTACTACGTTCTCTACCACGCCACCAGACTCCTTTGAGGAAAACTGTAAATTTACCTCACAGAACACGGAAGTTGCTTTTCTACCATTGCCTCAATCAGTTAGTTTGTGTTATTGTGTGACTTTGGTAAATCCATACGAACCCTTTAAAACACCAGAGTCACACAATAACACTAACTAACTGATTGAGGCAGCGGCAGACCAGCACCTCCTGTGTTTTGTAAGGTAAAATTACTCTTTTTGTTAAAGGAGTCTAGTGCTTTGAAGAGAGCAGAGATAACAGCTTCAGGTGCCCGTTGGAAGGAGCTGTCAGCAAGGTAAAGCAGTGAAAATGATCTAAATATAGCGCACATGTCAACTGATATCAGATTTCTTTAGGTGGTTAAAATATGGCTTCCATCGTGGTAATCCTACCTGCTTGTCCAAACTGGGTCACCTGCCAAATGACATCCACTATAGGTACTACACTATAGATAAGTATCTCATACAACCCTACTTCCTAAAATCCAAACTATCCCTTCAAGAAAACTGCTGAATGCAGCTGGTCAATGACCGCCTGCTGATAACATGTACTGCTGATGTTGGAGGATATGTTTTGTCTTTGTGTGCTGGATCTCTGTACCTCATGCATGGAGTCCAGCAGCTTGGTGAGCTGATAGAAACGCTGCCAGTTCTGGCTGGAGTTCTCCTCGCGCTTCACAATGGCTTTCCCCAGCTCCTTAATGTACGTCATCCGAATATCATCGAACACCGCCTGGCTCTTCAGACCGTCCTTTGGCACTGCAGCAGAGAAACAAGAAGTCAACATCTGGGACAGAGATAAGGATAATGTACTGTCAACTGCAAAGGAGAGGGGACGTTCTTTACATTTTAAATGATCATGTCCAGGCAGTGAAGGGCGTAAAAAGGGCGACTGATTAATATACATCAGGGGTTTTTTTTCAGGGTGCACTCCCAGTAATATTTAGCAGCACAGAGTACTTCCAGGAGCCAGAACAAAAGCAGCACACCCCCAGGAGCTGTGTTAAAGCTACCTGCAATTATCGTTTCAAATAGGATTTTAATCTGTTTAATTATTGAGTCTTTGTTTATGTCTTTAATTCTCCTGCACTAGATTACCTTAGAGATAAGATATGAAGATTTAGTTCTTATTTGTGATAACGGCATGTCAGTTAATGAGTTGGTAAAGTGCTGTGATGTGATGTTTTGTCCTGTGCGTATATCAACATTATCTTTTAGCCACTATAGACGGTATTGGATTGGAGTTAATAGCTTTTGTAATGATTGCATTAACACAGCACCACGTTGGACATGAGATAATGAAAGATGGTGGTTCAACTGCTCTAGGGTAAAAAGTCTGACCTGTGCTGAGCAGCAGCAGGACCTTCATGCACAGATACTCGTCGTGGGAAACCTGCAGCCGGACGAACTCGCTGGAAATCTTCAGCATCTGCTCACACTGGTCGGCCATGTAGGGCAGCTTCATCCTCTCCCTGGTGGAATCAGACAAAAAACGGTTTAACAGCACAGCTCTTTAAGTCATAGTTGACTGATAGGGCCGCTTGTGCAGCTTCAATCAGGGAGATGAAGCAGCTCCCTGTAATATCTCTGTAGATTAAATGTTCAAGGTCTTGCTGCAAACAATTTGTGGATCCTATTTTAAATCATTCTTCCAGGAGGTTGAGAATGCATATTTCAGATGACTAAGTGTCATCTCGGTGATGAAGTAATATTGTGGGTGAAAGTGGGGACAAACTCCTGCAAAAAGTCTTGGAATTTATGGTAAGGGGTTGATTTTTCATTTCTTAAAACAGCAGTGCCCAACATTTGTCCTTAAAAGAACCCTTTTCTATCACAAAGTAAGCTGACGACCCCCAACTAAGTGACATATCTTATGGATGTTTTAAATTATATTTATTGTATAATAGCAGTACAGACCAACTGATGAACTGTACAATGAACCCAAATAGTGAATGCAATAACTGCAGGAAATTTGAGTTAAACGAGCGATTTGGATGAATTTTAAGTTGATTATGTCCCCTGAATATTGCATGATCACGTTTTACACGATTCTCGGTCTGTATAATTATTATTATCTTTAATTTTTAACAATCATACATACAAAATAGGCTTCACTTTTCAAAAATTCAAAGTCTTCTTCTCCCTAATGATTGGCCATTGTTCTACTGCCTTTTTGATTGTTTTAACTGTGTACTTTTCTAATGCAGGAGACTGTTGAGCGGAGAAAGATGGTCTGTGATTATATCTTATGTTCAGGTCTTTACTGTGCCCTTATCCGGTGAGATTTAAGTTCATATATAAACTTTAAAATTAACAATTTCACAGTTTTCTTCAAAGAAATGCATGCAATTATGAGGTAAAGGCCTACTGAATATTTTTTTAAAAAGTCTTCTCACAACCCTTAAAGTCAAGAAGGCCTCGCGACCCCCTGTGAAGCTTTAGCGACCACGAGTAAGGGTTGGGCCACACCACTGTCTTAAAGGGTGGGTGGGTGAAATTCTGGGGTGATACTGATGTTTAAAATAATATTTTGGCCAATGGCTGACAGTCGGTGCTGATGATTTTTGTTGTTTATTTTGTGTTTGATGTTATTTATCCTCCTAAACAGTAAGAAAATGTTTCAAAAGCCTGTTTACCATATATCCCCTCTTTAATATCTATTTTATATTGTTGTGAAACATCTACAAACTTCTCATTCAAAGACTGTATTTATTCAAGTTTCTCATCAAAACTGCATTTTACAAGATTGCATCTGAATGAATCTTGAGAACATTATAGATTACATTTTCCCAATACACATTTTTACTAAACAGACCCAAAGAAAAATAAATCAAAACTCAACCTTTTAGTTATCATTATTAACAACATGCCAAAACACCAGGGCCACATATTTAGCGATAATTTGTAAAACATCCTTGAAAACAAAACTGCAAAAAGCTTTTACCAAACTGAGATTGTCTGAAGGCTGTTAAAATCAAAGGCAAAGGCCTCGATTGAGTTTTGTTTGGAGGCTGACTGACAAATAGAGAGCATCATCAGATATTAATTATGATCATATTAACTTGCAGCTTGTGATTATGAAAAAAAAGAGGAAACAAATCAAAAGGCCTATTACAGCCCTAAGCATGGTCGCTTTGCTGACTGCTCACCACACTCAGAGCGCTGTTTACAAACGGAGTCATCAAGTCTATACGAGGGATGAAACGCTGATTACTGATGACAGCTGACAGACATGGTTTGATTCTCGGGAGATACGACACATTTAGCACAGAGCAGAGAGCTGCACTGATATATGTAAACAAACAGATGTATGCGTTGGCTGACTGATGGAAAAAGAAAAATATCATAGGCTAGAAAATATCACTTCAGCACTGGATTTATATGAGGTGCAAAGACTCCATTAACCAGGCCGTGGTATGTTCTAACTTTCACTATTAATCATCACAAAATACTGGCAACACTGACACACATAATCTGGAGGATTTCAAACACATTACTGTGGTACTACTTTCTGTATCACATTACACAACATGGGTTAGACGTAGACTGAAAATGGTTTGATACATACTCGTTGATGACGAGGTCTGGTGCAAAGCAAAGCATGTTGCCGTTGCACTGCTGGTAAGATCTCCAGCCCAGACCGAAAGACATGAGGAAGAGCCAGGAGCACTGCAGCAGAGTCATCTGGTCGTCCAGATGCAGGTTCCTGAAACCTGAGAGAAGGACATGGAAGTATCTCAAATGACTCCTGATGCGGAGAGCGTGGTGGTGACAGTGACAACGAAAATCAACCAAATATAAATACAGTATAACATTTTGATGTGCACTAAATATGATCTTTATCAGTTGCATCATGATCTTGACTGTTTGGTGTGAGGTGGTCATAAAACTCTGTCTGCATTGTCTTAAAGGTCCAGTGTGTAGGATTTTGTGGCATCTAGAATTAAGGTTGCAGACCTGAAATTTCTCCTGTGTGTCAAGCTATAGGAGAACTACAGTGGCTACAAGACAATGTGAAAATGCTAATGACCCTGTCTAGAGCCAGTGTTTGATTTGTCTGTTCTTGGCTACTGTAGAAGAACATGATGACCTCAATGTACCTGCTCTGTATGTAGATAAAAACGGCTCATTCTGAGGTTACAAAAAACACCATTCTTATTTTTTGGTGATTATAAACTAATGAAAACAATTGTTATGAATATTTACAAAATTTCTGCCAATAGTTGCCCCTAAATCCTAAACACAGGATCTTTAAGTCTGTCTTTTTCTTGTCTTGAATTCTGATAAAATCAGACATGTTCAATATTATTATAAGTTTTTAGTCTTGGCTCATGCAAATAGTGAAGTTCAATGACCTGCACGCTATCAACAACCAATAGCTGCACTCTCTCTAGCACCAAATGGGGAGCAGAACATCACATAGACAGAAAACATGTGTCTCAGTTCTCTTGCTCCCCTTCCCCACTGCACAAAAAACCCACTTACACCCACTATTACTTTTGATGTAAAGGGAAAGGTTACAATTGGCATTCAAACCAAGGGCAAATGACTATGCAGTGGTCATGGATATTTATTCCCTCTGGCTGTGATCGGCACCAATGGAAACACAACATCCGGGTGAACGCGCTAATTTTAGCACCTTTACCAGTGAGATGCAATAATGTGCCACCACAAAATACCACCCTCTCCGCCCAAGCAGCACTCAAACATCAATCAAAGTCAGTCTGCACTGAGTTTGAAAGAAAGACTGAATGAGTGAGAGGTAAATAAAAAGAAGTAACCACAGTGAAGTTTTCACAGGGCTCCATGCAGCTTTCTGGCCTGTCCATGACACCAAACATGACACACCAAAGAAAACCCAAAACACAGCAAGAGATGCTCTTTCAGCGCTCTTGTGTACTGGCAATGGGAAAGGGAGTCCATAGCCTATTTTTAGTGGGTTTACCCATGTTTAAAAAACCTGCCTACATGTGCTAATTTTGATGGAAAGGGGGGTGTGGACTGGAAAAGAGGGAGAAGCTGGTGGAGTTGTGGAGTGGACAAGAGTTTGTGTTTAATTTGGTGTGTATCTAATCCAACTAACAGCAGTTACTTAAGTGAGAAACCTTAATTTTTGAAATGGTTCACCTCTCACTCACGGTCTCCCCCACTAAAGTAGCGCAGCTAACAGACAGAGGCTGGTAGCTGGCTGAGGCGGCAAAATCCAAAATGTAAATTTTGTATGCAAATTCTCTTTATGGAATTATTCCACATTGACAAGAATACTGTCAATATATGATACCTTTTATCTTGAGTTTCTAGAGTTATTTGTTTTTGAGGACATGTAAGGAATGGTTAATTTGTCACATCTGTTTTAGGGAGTCTGGCGAAATATTTTCCACCAGAAGCAGGATCAGAAATAATTTCGAAAGGAATCTAGCTGTAGTCTTGCAAATAGTGACCCTGCAGGATCCCCAGTGTTTGCAAAATCTTATAGTGTCTCACAAAAAAACTCATATTGTCTTCAGATGTGAGAGGGCGTCAAACTTTATTCTTTTAAAAGTATGTCAGAGGTCTTTCAGTGTATGGTAGTCATTAATCAGACTTCACTCTGTTTAGCAAATGTGCCTACGTGTCAAGCTAGCCCCAGATGAAGCAGATCCAGATGTAGTGCCAGTGTTTGTTTACACAGAGCAGACACCTGTTTGCGCTGCACCAATACATGACAACATCTCCTGCCTTTTCTAACACTTGTAAAATACCCATGCTTGCAATTTTCTGTGCGTAGTTAAAATAAAATGTGTTTGCACATACTGGCTATATTTTGAGTTGTGTGTGTGGTGTCACACAACGCCAGATACCAAACACTGAAGACAGCACTCATCATTAACTTGTCTTTGTGCAGGTTTGACTTTTTTTCTGGGATATCAAGTGCAATAATTAAATACTGGAGTTTACATAAACACAGATGTCACTGCAGACAGAGGAGCAATGGCAATATCGTACATCTATGTTCAATGTTACGACAAAGAAATGTTAAGTTTTCTTTTGAAACTTGTTGCACCTGCAGATCAACCTCAATATGTCACATCCTTCTCCTTGCAAACTCACCAATATAAACCATCTTAATCTAAATATACACAGTCTACACCCACTCCAAAGGACAAGTTTACACTCCTACCGGCAGAGTGCACCACTAACCTGGCAGAGCCTTGGCCCACTTCACAGCAGAGATGACCTGCCGGCCACCCAGCCTGTTGAGGGTGGTCATGAGGCGGGTGGAGGTGTCGGGCAGGGTGCTGTCATAGCCGGCATAGATGGTGTCCGGCTCGATGGCCTTCAGCAGGGACAGCATCGTGGGAACAAGTTGAGGCATGCACTTGGGTACAAGGGACCTTGCCTCAATTGGCGGAGAAGGAGTGAGCTCAGGCGGGTTGCTCGGCTGGGTGCCCTTTAAGCGGTTCAACTTCTTGGTTTTGCGCGCTGCAGAGGAGAATACAAGGATGTACGTTCAGGGAAGTGAAATAAAGAGGAAAGGTGAGGATGAAGAGGTTAATGTGTACCTTCCAGGTTCATGCCTGCCATCAGACACTTGCGGAAGCGGCAAGCCGGGCAGTTCTTCCTCCTGATCTTGTCTATTATGCAGTCGTTCCTCCCAGCACACAGGTAATTATGCTGCCCTGAGGCACACAGAAGAGGAAGATTAATCTGTTATTTACCTTCACTGCTGTGGCAAACACTCCAGGGGGAAAAACTAATTAGCTGTATCACAGTCCTTTACTTTGTAATGAAAGCGCCTCCAACTTCAAATCATAATGACTCCCACATTTGGGCAAACTGAAGTGACACAGGTTAGTGATGAATGAGTGTATCACAGGCGATGAATAAATCAGTGAGGAAATAATGATGTCTTATGGCTTTGTACCTTCCACTGCTCTCTTGAAGAAGACCTTGCAGCTGCCACAGGTGAGAACGCCATAGTGGCAGCCTGAGGCCTCATCAGAGCACACCAGGCAGATTTTATGAGTCCCGCTCTTTCCCTGTGGTGAGGATGTAGCCGCACTGACTTCTTGTCTGGAGGCAGAAGAGGAGGGAGAGGGTGGAGACAGAGCAGAGGAATGTAAGGAATATTCAGTCACTCCTCTAGTAGCGCTATGGAGCTGTTTTTCTATGAGTGGGTTCCCATGTGCATAAGAACACACATGAACATGCACGTGTGGGTGGTGACGAGTACAAATTCCTGATCTACTGGTGGCTGTAATGCCAAGATATGCAGTAATGTGCAGTAAATGCAGGAAAGAAGAAAACTGCTCCTTCTAAACATGGATGTGTAAGATGCCAGTTTCACAATTTGAGAGAAAAACGGCTTTCCAAGTGAGGAATGTGCACAATTAGCTAGTCAACTCAATGAAAATGTAGTTGTAATATATGTTGTAATAATCCAGCATGTTTCCTAAAGATTTATTTTTCTAGAGAGCGAGTTGTTGTCATGTTTTGTAGGATAATGTGCACTGTTTATACAAGAAGTGCTGCTCATTTCAGCGGCATTTAAAACACAGTTTGGTTACTGAAAAATGTAATTGTCAATTTCAAATTGTTCCTATATACAGTACTTTGTCAGACAATGTTTAACCTTACACATTAAATTGCCCTCAGTTGTGAATGTTTTCTGAGTGTTGTCTAACTTTTGGACGAGTCTACCAGTCTAAGTTTAAACTTCCGTTTCAGCATCATGGGAATTAATTGTTAGGAACATCCGTATTGTAAGTGTTTTATTAGAAGGGAAATGTTTTCATATTTGTTGGACTGCATGGATACACACAAATGCACTTTGGTAACACTGAATCTAAACACAACTTTTGTTTGTTTGCAGGAAAACTCCAAACTTCAACTATAAAAACATAAGTACATTTTACCCACAGAGACAAAACACTGAATAGACTTCTACTGTCAATGAGGAAGTGCATTAAATGATCTTAGGTATCACATAGGGCTGCGATAGTGAGTGCGATGTGAGTCATGATTTTAGTAGGAATGGTAATTTTTGCATTTCATTTTCACTGAAAGAAAAAAAAAAAAGATTTTTGCAGGGGTCTGCACCAAATTAACTGTGCAGCCCTCATATTACAAAATAGCTGCACATACATATCAGTCAAATCCATGTCAGACATATACTGTATGTCTACAGTATGCCATTTATACAGCCTGTCCCGGCTCCTGAAAGCATCCTGTGTTTTGAGAGTTCAGCTGCAGTTCATATTTACAACTGTGCGCCAAAACCTGAAATAAACTGCACAGATACACTACACAGATAGACTACACACACTCCCATAATACTCAATGTGCTCCTTGTGCTTGCTTTACCTCAACTTTACCTTGGTTCTCCACATCGTGAGTGAAGGAAAGTGAGACCCATTGTGCCCGTTTGGGCCTTTAAAGCCTAAATTATCGGACTATCTGTGGTCACATCCTAAATCCAGTGGTTGTCATAAAACTGCCCTTCTTCCTTTGATTGAACCACAAATGTTTCCAGACCCAGTCAACAGGGGTAGGTGATGCACATCTTCAAAACGACCACTAGAGGGTGTCAGGCTTTGCAGCATCCATGCACCAGAGGTCCACACCCCCCTTCTAACCCAGTGGCCACAGCAACAACAACGCCCACACTGAGAGGATATTGAGCCTGAGACGTGCAACAACTGTGTCTGTCTATCCATGTGTCCAACAGTCTGCCTCTGCAATGACAACAAACTGTTTTATCTGATAGGCACTGCCCCGAACTGTCACTGCACGCAAACACTCTTATGCAGATTTGAACCAGGGAGCCAAGTTCACTCTTAAGTTACACAACACAAGGGTATGAGCATGAAAGCAGGCCAGGCCCCAGCAGTCAGTGGGTGTAGCAGGATGGGAAAACCTGAGTGAAACATCAAAGCATCAAGTCCAAAAGCATTCAGCAGCCAGATTGAGAAAAAAAAAAAAAACTATCAGAGAAAGACCTCAGAGGAGGCTGTCTAGCCATGACAGGGCTGAGAGCTTTCTGAGCACCACTGAGACTACACTGTGGTCAATAAGTATGTCCATTTACCTTTTATGACTCGTCTTCAGTGCAACTGTGTGCTGACAGTTCATGAGCTCTTATTTCCTGAGTGTCTTTGACTGCTCTCTGCATTGTTCTGTACAGCTGAAATTCAAACCCCTGAATCTTTGGGTTGGTTTAGAGGTGATCACACCACTAAGTGGGGGGCTCACTGAACAGCTCCCTCCTGGCCCAGCTGTGAGAGGTGAAACACGGGGCAGATTTAATTGAGAACACAGTCACTAAATCCTTGGAAATCCAGAAAAACCACCATTTTCAAACATACCCGACTACCTGCTTTTTAAATCACATTTTGCAACGAGACTTTGCCAAAAGTTTTGAGGAACAAAAGGTTTTAACTTCAGTTTGGTAGTTACAGCCAAGCACTAAACAAATCACACTCCATATTGTGTGTGCACAGTTTATCATTGTTTGAAGTGGACAACCTGAGCAGAAGGAACATTATTTTAACTATTTATAGCGACAGTAAAAAACCAAAGAGCTGTGTTTTTTGACTTGGAAATTGGAGTCATCATTCTAACTCAGAAAAAGCCCAACCTACGCAGGCACAGAAAGAAACTGCATTAATTTTTCATCTGTAAAAGTGGAAAAAGGAAACATTAACTTTATCAAAAATCCAAATCCAATACACTACAGGTGAACTGACGATCATCCTTCTGTTAAGTTGCACTGTCATTACCAGAATATATCACTGTTTACCTGCATAGCATCATCTTTGATCCCACACAGGAAAACAACTCCATCTTTTTAGATTTTTCAAGAAGGGAACGAGGTGTAACACGTAAGCCATAGTGGTCACTTTTTAATAATGGTTAAAACTGCCAGTTAATTTACTTTTTATTTGGCAACTGTTGAGATTTGTTCATTAGATTTGTGGTGCATTTTATTTAGTTGTGCTACCATATTTTATACAGAATCTGTATCTCACTCTGAATTACTGCTTGTTTAGTTTTTACTTAATATTTAACTCACACATTTATGTTGACATGTGAAATTATAACATGACGCCTACATGATGTAATGTGACAAAGGCTGCCAATAGTGATAATCCAAAAGTAACATCACCCAACTCTGCAATTTCCCTCAAAGCCTCTTTCACTGCATTGTTTTGGTTTAACAGCCCATAACTTAATAATTTGGTTCCATCCCAAAAATCTCATCAGCATCATCTGCAGCAGTAGCCAGCAGCTGTTTTTTTTGCAGAAAGCTCTAAAAACCCACTGTTCGCTCCCGCCCAATGCCAAATGCCAGACAGAAAGCGGACTGTAACTGAAATAGAAAAAACACAGAGGACTTGTTTCTCTTTGCTGTCCTCGTGCTGAATGCAGCAATGTCGACAACAGTTCTCTTTCAACTTGGGATGTTAAAATGAATCTCTCGCTAGATTGAAGTGGGTGGAGTCCATTAATCATACATCTCTCATGATTGTAGGTGGAAAAAAAAAAAGAGAAGAATTTTTGTAAAAACTGCCAACTCCGAGTTGACTTGGAAAATTAGAGTTGCCAATTAAGCTAACCTACATGCCTTTGGACTGTGGCGGGAGAAGGGGAGAACATGCAAACTCCAAAAAGCCCCTGGCCAGAAACTTAACTCCAAATAAACATTGTGCCTGCTGAATGAGTAAATAGGCAACACTTCGCTACAAGTTTGCCATAACAACTTTATAAGGTGATAATAATGTCAATATTGTGTTTACAGCTCAATCCACTGTCCTTAAGTTGCCAACAAAGGCAATCAATGCAATTAGAGACTAAATATAGAAACACAACTTAAAAGAATGCTTCATTGCAGCCATTTCAGGATAGGCAATAATTCAAAATGTGTTTTCTATGTATCCTCTTTGCAGATAATTGTGTTGTGACAAACTTCACGAGTCACCGTGGTTTACAATTTGCATTTGTTTCCTACAAGCTATTTTTGCTTTCAACCAGCCTGTCTGAGTACCTGCTGTTCGGATCTAGGTCAACAGCAGTGACTTGGGTGATGAAGGGTCATACAATATATACAATTCATACAAAAGCTGTGCCGCTGTGATGATGTAACATGCATGCCATCTGTCGCACACACAGATTTATGTGGGGTTTCCTTAACGTACTGCTACGAGAGTGCATACATACAGTATATTATGCACACACACAAACAAAAGCCCTTCAAGCTCCAAAGGAGGCCGTTGTAACCAAAGGGGTGGGTGGAGGAGGCTAATGAGTCCAGAGTGATGATGACGATGATGTCAGAGGGTGTGGAGGGTAACCAGTTTGTCCTTCACTGGCCCACTGGGATGGTGTCAGCAGGACAGCTTTACTAGGTGGCTGTAGGCTACTAGTTCAAATCCAATTACTGCAGCCGCTATATGTTTCCAACAACAACGTAGGCCTGAAGCGATGTCACTGCTTTTCAGTGTTGTCTCTAAACTCAATTTGAAATCAGTGGATGACATTCAACTAAGCCATGAAACAAGTTACAAATCTGTTTTGGGGATTGCCAGACGCAAACCAATCAAAGCTGCACGGCAGTGCGGGCAGACCGAATTTCCTCTTTCTGAAACCATCTGTTGAAGTGAGCGCTTGCCATCGACAGGAAGTTCTCGCATTCCCTCAGAGTTTACTATCGGTCAGAGCACAGCCACAGCACAAAGGCAGAGACACCCTGAGATGGGCCTCGACTTCAACAAGAGAGCAGTGCAGAGAAAGTTAATCGCTGACGTCGGTAGGAGTGTGATCAATCAGCCCGGGTTTTAATGAGACAAGCCACTTCACGCACTTACGATAATACCGGTGGCCCAGTGCCCTGCTTAACAATTCATAATCCCCTTTTAGCCAAGAGTGTCACGAGTAGCTTGGCAGGCCCCTGCTCTATATACCCCAGCCTCTCTGTCAGTTCAGACAAGAAGCCGTTGGAGCTATATCATTGCAATGCCCAGCTATTTCATTTTAGGTGAGGTAAATCATTTTGTGCATTTACAGTATTCCACATT